TCCCGCAGGATTCAGTATGGGATTTTCGTGGCGCTCAGACGTTTGATAGTCCAAGCCCACAATTCCATGTTTTCAGATTCCCTGCAAAAACCGACTCATAGGAATCCCCCGAATAAACGGACCAAACAGACATTTGTCCGTCTGTCCGATCGGACGTGTCAAACTGCTTCCATCAAGGAGTTTCCAATGAATGGTCTCCAAGAGAGCAATTTCAACACGCGCTACTACTCCCACAAATACAACAAAGCCGGTCTCGACTATGAATTGGGAATTTCGCTAGTCGACAATCGGCTGTTGTGGATCCGTGGTCCCTTTCCGGCGGGGACAAATGAACTTACTGTGCTGAGGGAACAAGGGCTGCTTGCGGAACTCAAGCGACGAAAACAATCCGCCATTGGCGATAAAGGCTACAATGGTGAACCTAACCACGTCAGCACATACAACTCGCACGATAATGCTGGAGTCAAGCTCTTCAAGAGCCGAGCTCTCAAGAGACATGAAAACTTTAACAATTTGTTGAAGCAAAACAACATTTTGGATACCCGTTTCCGTCACAACGAAACAAGGTTCAGGGACGCGTTTGAAGCTTGTTGCGTTCTGGCACAATATCGCATCCAAGGGGAGATTCCACTCTACGAAATTCTAATTGAAGATGTTGTAGATAGATATAACGAAGATAGACAAGAGTTCTAGATCAACTTACAAACTCATAGTACGCTTATGACTCGAGTCTGTGCTAATGTGAAGGAGCTCGGTATTTACAAAGAATACTAACAAAAGCGCCCATGCATGAATATTTACGACCCCTAGTTTATTAGAATCTACAACCTATGTATTCCAAAACATGTCTGCAGCTCTGGTGCTCCTGGGAGGAGTTGTTTGCGCAAAGCGAAGGCCCTCACCGTCTCCACGAAGCACCTGCCATTGAACGTAATCATCGTTCTTGAAGTACCCAGTTTGACGAGGAGGCGCAACTTCAGTAAGAGCGCCGATGGGTGCCATT